AAAATATCAAAGACTTAATGTTACAATGTAGAGTAGTCCAGAATGTGTAACATTGCTGTCACTTAATACTAGAGGCAAGCAGTACGTACCTGTGATACTTCTCTAGAGCTGTTTAATAAAAAAAAGTTACAGAAGAAGCAGCTGCCATTTTTACATTTTTCAAATTTTTCTGCTTAATGTTAAGATTAACCAACTACCTTTGATAGTAATTCAACCAAAATGCACCAAGAAAAGGAACATTATTAACACTGGGCTAATTTTCTCTTGGAATGATGGGACATATTGAATGTCCTTATCCAAAATACGAGCTGTTTAATAAAAAAAAGTTACAGAAGAAGCAGCTGCCATTTTTACATTTTTCAAATTTTTCTGCTTAATGTTAAGATTAACCAACTACCTTTGATAGTAATTCAACCAAAATGCACCAAGAAAAGGAACATTATTAACACTGGGCTAATTTTCTCTTGGAATGATGGGACATATTGAATGTCCTTATCCAAAATACTTGGGACCAGAAGTGTTTGGATTTTGGATTTTTTTTCAGATTTGGCAATATTTGCATTGACATAATGTGATATCTTGGGAATGGGCCAAGGGTAAACTTAAATCTCAGTTATTTCTTACATACCTTATACACATAGCCCGAAGGTAATTTATACAATATTTTCATATTGCAGCATTCGGACTGCAACCGTCATATGAGATCAGGGGTGGAGTTTTCCACGTGTGGCATCATGTTGGTGCTCAAATAGTTTCCGATTTTGGAGCATTTCAGATTTTGCATTTTCTGATTATGGTGGCTCAACCTGTATTATGTAAGTGCAAAATTAGTAGGGCATTGATGAAAGTACTTGGGAATGCAGTTTCCCTAAAATGTGTGTATGTGGCTCCCAGGCCTGCTGTCGCTTACCCTCCTGGCCTAGGTGGCCGATAGCCAGCCTGCGTCGTGTGTACCACCGTCCAGGTGCCTGGTGCACTGTGATGCCTGCAGTCAGTACTGTGGGTGAAGGCTCCAGGGGCCTTTTCTGCTATGGAGTACACCCGCAACTACAACTCCTCTTAAATTACTTCAGCGCTCTTTCTACTTCACTTTTTTTCTTTTGTTTTCTTTCTAAATAAAGTAAGTTTAACTCAATTTTTTCTCTAAGGGTTAATTTGAGCTTACGTGAATAGAAGCACTCCTTATTAATGACCGTGAATGCTCATTAATCAGAGGGAGATAATCTGCGTCTTTACCTGCTTACATCACAGACAGTATTCTTTGGGGTAGAGAATGGAAGTAAAATGCATTACACTGGGGTGAGGATGACGTTTTAGATGTGGTCTTTATTAACAATATGGAATTTTGTAATTATTTCTTCATTTAATTGTATTCGTTATTAAGGCAGCAGTGATAGTCATGGGTATTACTGGATTTTAAACTTTGAGGATTTGCTTGAGTTACTTCATTTGTTTGCTAAGGAATAAGTGTAGGGTCCAGCAGGTGGTGTGGTAGTTAAGGTGTGGATTCCCACCTGGCTGACCGCGGTTCAAGTCCCAGACTCAGCAACTTTAAAACTCACGCTAGCTGTGTGTGCATGCATGCCCGAAATCCCAAGAGGAGAATGGAGGACAAGGGACTGTGGCATGGCCATCCCCTTTGCAGGGTGATTTCTTTTTCTCTCTCTCTGTCTTCAGCTAGTACACTTGCCCTATGGCAAAAACCTTAAATAAAAGGAAAGAAGGAAACAAATGAATGAACTGTAGGGCCCACTCCACATTGAAACTGTAATTCATGCCTCAAGAGGAGCTGGATTCATATGGAAACCAAGGTTTATATCCCAGGCCCGGTCAGCCTGAAACACAGCGGGCACATGCAAGAGTGCCCAAGATCGGATGGGAGAAGAGGGGTCATGTGTGCACACACATGCTGTCATAAAGAGAATAAAAGCAATATATTCGGTTGATCTAGCGAGAGCATGTACCACCTGTGAATTGCTGGGTGTGTGCTGGACTTAGCATGTGGGTTCCATTTTAATTCCCAGGAGGGTGGCGTCCCTCTCATGGTATCCCCCAAAGGCTGACAGAGGTGTGTGACTGAGGGATTCCATGTGGGCAGAGTTGCGAAGCTGGTGAGCATGAGTTTGGGAGTTCAGGACAGGGTTCCATCGCAGCATGCCACTCACTCGCTGCCTGACTTGAGCTGGTAGGAGCAGCACTGAGCCTGCCTGATAAGATGAAGGGCTAGGATTGTAGGAGCTCCAGTTTCCTTTCGGTTCCAAAATGTCACACTTCTCAAATTCTTGCTTATCTAAGAAGCCAGACTTGTTTTCAGTACTTCAGACATGCATTTAACATTTTGCACAGAGGCAGGTGGTTCCTGGTTCCGAGATAACTACAGCAAGGACCAGGCTATTCAGGAGCTTATTACAGCAAGTGTAGGCCGCCTCTTCCTCAGAGGAACTTTAAATCAGGGTTGTCAGTTTTTCACTACAGTACATTGAATTCTTACCAAAACTTCTTTAGAGCACATGATAAAATGTCATTTGTAGTTACAAATATGTGTCGACACATATCTACTGAGCTCTTGTATCACTGAAGTTCCACGGTTTACAGTTTCTCCGACTCGAAGATCCTGTAGCTGAACTAACAGTCAAGGTCTATATCAAAGCAAAGCACTGGGCATGGTTTCCCCAACCATCACCATTTTACCTCAGCCAACTTGTAGCATGTTCTGAAAATGCGAATAGCCGACAAGAAGATCGAAACAACTTGGGTGATCAATACCATTCTATGTGGTACCCCTGCCAGTGTCAACTTTAGATCAAAGTGTGCAGGAGAAGAAGGTTCCACATGGCTCCAGCAAACTAGATATTTCAGAGAATGAAGATTTTCTCCTGATAATTCAATCTCCAGCAAACGAGCTAGCGGCTGAACTTCAACAATTTGAAAGAAACACACCATCCCTCAGATGACAAGAAATCACCGCTGGATCATGAGAAATATGGGAAAATGAGAAAATACCTCTCCTCCAAGGGAAAAGAGTAACTCTTCTTCATCCACAAGCAGTTCGGTGAAAATCATGGAAATGTCTGATAAGGAATTTAGAGCATTCATAATGTCAAAGCTAACAGAGATGGAAGAGAAGAGAGATAATGGACTGCTAAAGAGAAAGGAGAAAGAAGTTGACGAGTTCCAGGAGGTGAGGAAATTCCTGCAAGATCTAAAAGAGGAATTACACACTTTACAAAAGACTCAAACAGAACTGGTAGAGATGAAGTCTATAATACAAGAAGTCAAAATCTCCCTTGAAAGTATTCAAAGCAGACTAGATCATTCAGAAAATAGAATCTCAGATGTAGAAGAGAAAATTGCTGGCCTAGAAAAATCCACCATGAAGACTGAGAAAATGGCCCAAAAATTTGAGAATAATATGCGAGAAGTACTGGTTACCATCAAATGTCCAAACATCCGGATAATTGGCATTCCAGAAGGTGAAGAGACCCATAAGGGCATTGATAATCTATTCCATGAAATCCTGCAAGAAAACTTTCCAAACCTAGAGAGGCATTC